GCACAGAGGTGTGGAGAGCTCAATACTTATTGATTCCAGATAGAAAAGTATTTATTAAGACTTAGGCCAGAGGACCGTGTGTGTGTGTGTGTGTGTGTGTGTAAACAATGCGACCGTATGGGTCAGCATGGTAGGCAGTGGGCTCAATGCACCAGCAGTCTAACCATTGTCAAATTTTTTGTAGGCTTCGTGGCAGGGGGAGAGTTTTAAGGAGCAATTTGAAGGGAAGATAATTAGTTAGTTTTGCAGAGGTTTATGGGGAGCTCCTCCCAAGTGTGAAGGCAGAATGGGAAAAGCATGACAGTGCTTGTGTGAAAATTTAACAAGTGGGCAATGGAGGTTGGTTGACATCTTGATAATGAATGACAAGGTTTAGGTGGGAAGGGATGGGGATGGGGATTGTCAAAGGTCTGGAAAGTGAAGACAAGTATCTTATGTATGCTGTGGCTTTTTTTTTTTTTTTAAAGTAGCCAGTGAGTGGAGGGATTCAAAGAAAGGTGTGAAATTTTCAAATCAGCAGGGAACTTCTAAAAGTGTGGGGTGCTGGTTTAACTGTATCCCCAGACTCTGCCAACCCCAGGCTCAATATAGCTCTCAGTTAAATCAATGAGAATTGAATTATACTTTCCAGAAAGCAAGATACAAAGATCTGAAGACAGTAGACACTATTCTGCAACTCTTTGGACTATATGAGCCTATTTAAGAATTCTTATTATATTACTTGTATTGTGGCAGTGCCCAGAGACTCCAGTCAATATGATGGTCCCATTGACAGGGATCCTGCCTGGAAAAGTTTACAGTCCAAGAAGAAACATGACAGTGAATGGGTGGGTTAGGGGAAGAGGAATTACAATCAAAAATAGATACAGTGTGTACATATGTTCTCTTTATTTATGCAAATATTAGCTCAACTGCCTCCCAAGTTAGTCACAGTAAGCTGGTTAACGTCTTGTCGTGATCCCAGCGGAAGTGGGTGTTGATAGATGAAAGGGTAGTTGCCTCAGGGACGGCTTTTGTCTAATGACTGAGACTGCAACACAAATTATTCAACACTTCGCCTTCCTCTGGCAGCTTCCGTCTGGAGATCTCAAAGCATTTTACACATAACGTCCTGTGCAATCAAATTGTTTTACCCTGAAACTGCCTGTGGCTCTCTCACATTAAGCTGTTTGGTTTAGTGTTGAGATCCATTATATTATCCTGACCTTTCCATCTGATTTCCAGTATTTGGCTTCTTTTCTTTTGCAATCCAGTTCTCTCCATTAGACCTTCATGCAATAGATCTCTTCGTTTGTACCTGTCCTGCCCTGTTTTGTACCTTCCATTCTCTACCCAGCTCCTCTGCTTTCTCTTTACCCTCCATATTCATTGTGGCCCAGATTCTGCCACCCTTGCTCACCCTAGCGCCTTACTCCGAGTTCCCCACCCATTCTGCCAATACCCTTCGGTGCTTGGCAGGAGAGGAGTGAATTGTGTCCCTGCACCTTTTAGACCCTGACATTCCTGCAGGGTAAGTCCCGCCTCCCAGGGAAATCCATTGGTTCCTGTGGCCGTTTTGTTGCTCTTTTTGGCAAGTCTCTTGACTGAGGCGCCTCGGGATTGGGCGAAGAACTCCGGCCAAGAGATCCTCTGTAAATATCAATTTTAGCCCCAGACGAATAGGCCATGCCTTCCCCCTTGCGGGAAGTTGAGTCCTCTCCGGCTTACATGGGCTCGTCCAGCCGTAGGAGACCCCGCCCGGAGGGAAAGGGGGCGCCAGCGAAAGGATAGCTGCCATGGGCAGGGTTGCGGCTCCCCTGTGGGGTGGCTCTTTCGCGACGCTCCCCGAGCCCGCCGCCGGTGGAAGCCGCCGGAGCCGGGGTTGGGGGTTGGCCCGGCTGGGGGCCCGCGGTGAGCAGCGCCGGTCAGGCAGCGCCGGCTTCTGCCGAGCAGGTAACGGGTCGGGTCGGGTGGGCGCGGCCGGGCTCCCCGCCGCTTGGCCGGCCCCCGCCGGGAGCGGGAGCGCCGCGCCGACACGGGCGGAGGGTTTCCCGGGGGGCGGCTGGGGCCAGCTCCGCGCAAGGGGGAGCCCGGCGCCGGGCCTGAGGCCTGCCGGGGCTGAGGGCTGGCACCGCCCGAGGCGCGGGGTCGCTGCCGGGCTGGCAGCCGTGGGGGGCGGGCCCCGCTGGTGTCCGCGGGGCCCTGTTTGGACACGTCTTGGGTCCGTGTCCCTGGTGCCAGGCGCGGGCTGGCGGGGGAGAAAGGGAAGGGGCGCGTCGCCGCGGGGCTGGTCAGTTCGGTGCCGGGTGCTGTGTGGGCAGGGCCCTCGGGACGCCCTGGGCTTCAAAATCTTTTCAAGGACGGAGGTCCGTGTGGGGCTGATCACAATTGTCAGCTGTTAAGGGTTGCTAGACAGGACTGTGGACAATCGTTCTGCGTGTCCGCTGGAGGTAGGACAAGAAGCAAGGGGCTTGATCTGCGGGAAGGGAGGTTTAGGTTAGATAACTAGGGAAAAACTTCCTAGCGTAAGGGTAGTTAAGCTCTGGAATAGGCTTGGGAGGGAGGTTGTGGAATCCTGGTCCTTGCAGGTGTTTTAAGAACAGGTTAGGAAAAACACCTGTCAGGTTTCCTTTGCCCTGCCTCAGTGCAGGGGCCTGGACTTGATGACTTCTCAAGGTCCATTTCAGCCCTGCATTTCTGTGATTCATATCCCCTCTCCTCAAGCCTTCCTTTGGGCAGGTACCTGCTAATATGAGAGCGATGAGCTTCTTAGGGGTTGGCTACATGCAGAAGTGGCATGCGTTTTTAAAATCACTTTTAAAAACTAAAATAATTGTTGCAAACCCCCATGTGGACACACTTGTATCAGTTAAAACAGGTTATGTAGGTTTAGTTTGGGCCTATACATTTACTAATACAAGCTAAATTGATATAATCCAGGTTTAAACTGACATAAGGGTGTCCACACAAGGGTTTTCACAGGTTTAACTAAATAGCTTTAAAACAAACCTTTAGTTATAGTGAAGTAATTTCGGGTGTGTATGGATAGTTTTAACATGCTAGCGGGAAGCCTAGGACTTCTCCTGATCTGCTAACCCATGTTAAAATTATAACTTGCTCTGGCTACATTAGGATTTTAGTGTAATGTATTACAGTTTAACAATACACCTTTTTTCTTGGTGTAGACAGGTTCTTTGTATGTAGACCAGGCTTCAACGGGAAATAAATACCTGTTCAATCTATTTATTCTGTGGATGTGTGTATGTTGGGGAGGTTGTTGCTGGTCTCAGGAGTTCTAAAGAAGATGAGAAATACTCTCTCTTTTTGCTAGTTGTGTTTTTTGAATGTACACTGGGTTTCATAAACTAGTAACTTCTAGCAGCATAATGTCTGTTTCCTGCCTGGGTGCTGCTGACTGGGAGCTTTCAGTGTTGTTTTTGAGAAACATTGAAATTGACTGCAAACCTCTTCCGTGAGAAGTGAATGTTTCAAAATGGAAATTAAGCAAATGTCCTGGGCAGATGGAAGGCAGTGGCAGCTTGGCCCAGCTGTTGTTAGGAAGCACCAACAACTAACTGCATCATGTGTGAATTATAGCCATCACTGGGAGTCTTTATGTGAGCCTGCATATTGAGGATCTGCCTGAGAATGTACAAATGCTATTCTTTTAAAAGCCTTTACTAAAAGGGAGTGCAGCTTTACTGTATGAAGTGGGAGATGTTTGGGAGAATTCCTTATGATGATTATTGAATCCCTTTTTGAAGTACCCCTGTGTTCCCAAACAAAGCTATTGTTATGACTGGAAACAGAATTTGACAGACCTGGCCTTCAGACCTGGCCTCTTAACTTGGGAGCAAGTTTTACTTAAATTTTAGGCCAGACTTTTCAAACTTGGGTGCCTCAAGTTCAATGTCTCATTAGACACCTCATAGGTGGCCTGATTTTCAAACTCTTTTGGGAGTGGTGGGTACTCAGTGCCTCAGAAAGTTAGGCTACTTGTTTAGGTGCTAAGTATGGAATTAGGTGTTTAACATGAGGTATACACATTTTAAAATGTTGGCCTGAGTTTCTTACTTAATGGTAAGGTGTTGATCTTACAGTGGGGCTCCATGCAGGCTCAGGACCTTGTTCACTCAGAGCTCATTGCGCAGTCAGGACCAAACTTAAGATTTTTCAAACAATTCTGTTGGATTTTGATACTGTTTTAGGTGAGTTTGAAGGCAGTTGATCTGTTGGACTTTAAATCTGCCAGTGGTGTACAAGCAGTCTTTCTTATTGAAGATTTTTGTTGTGGTACTTAATATGATCACTCCACGATACTGGTTGCAATGTAGTTGAGCTCCAGGTACTCATTGTGAACAGAAGCTAAATTTGAAATATTCTGCAATATATGATCAACTAAAAATTACTCATCGCTAACATGGAGCAAAAAATATCTGTGCAGTAACTAAGGAAGGGATATCTAGGAAAGAGAAATTGTTGAAATAGATGGCAGTGGTAACACTTGTGTGAGAGTATGTTGCATCTATTGTTAATCCTCACACATATCAGAAAACACTAGCTTTTAAAAACTAGATTGTGTTCTAAACCAGTGGTTTTCAACCTTTTTTCATTTGCAGACCCCTAAAAAATTTCAAATGGAGGTGAGGACCCCTTTCAAAATCTTAGATGTAGTTTGCAGACCCCCAGGGGTCTGCAGATTACAGGTTGAAAATCTCTGTTCTCAACCAAGTCTGCTCTGGCATGGTCAAGTGAGCTCAAATGGCAGAACGCTAAGACCTTTCATCTCCAGTGCACGTAATATTTTGCACTTCTCTAGGTGTCTCTCATCAAAAGATCCTGAAGTACCTTACAGAATTTAATGAGTTTAACCTTACAGCCCTATTGGAGAGGCGGATGAGGAATACCCCATTTTACAGATGGGGAAGCTGAAACAAAGAGAGGCTAAGTGATTTGCCTGAGTTGTCACAGTGTTTGGGTGACAGAACGGAGACAATAACTGAGGTGAGATTCTCTTATGTGTTCAGAACTTGTAGCTGAAGGGTGAGGGTAACTAAGACATCTTTAAGTCGTGCTCCAGGCCACCAGCATGACACAGACATCTCTCTTAGACATAGGAGCCTGAGTTACCTAGCCTTCTATGGCTACAGTGCTGTTTGGGACCAAGGGTGGTTGGTGAGGTGGCTCTTTGGAGGCATCCTTACTGCCTTCACTGGGGCAATTTTCTTGTGGCTGGAACCAGGGCTTCTAGGGCCCATTTATTGTGCTCTGGTACCTCTCGTGTGTGATGTAAAGGGGCTGGAGTGGGGGTGAGGATCACCAGAGTCCTTCATTTGCTTTAAGCAGGTGGTCATCCCACCTTCCCTCCTCTCCTACATGGGGTATGTTGACTCTGTTTACTGTGGGTTTCTTTGCTACTCCTCTCACCCCTCCATGAGAAGGCAGCACTATCTTCCTGTCTGCTGTGCTAATCTAAGGGATATGTATGAAGGACTCTGCTCATAACCTATGCTTCATTATATTGTGGGTTTGGGTCACTGTTGAGACTTCTGCTATTTATTTTTTTAGCATTGTGGTTTTCTTTTCTTTCTTTTTAAAACTTGCTTCAAATTCTGATTTGAAATTGAAACTGGGAGGGGAATTAAGTAAATGTATTTCTGCCACTGGGTGGAAAAACCCATTGCATGAGCTTGTCCCGAGGACAAAATGAGGGTGCAGGAAATTTGAAGCAAACATTGATTTGGTGACTCTTGAAAAGCTGTGTTTCAACCTTCCTCTCCCCACCCCCAATTCACCCCCCAACCCTTATTTTCACCTTAAAAGACATTGCAATAACAGTTGCATTTAAATGTGATGGATGTTAGCAGAGTTTTCTGTGATCAGGGCTGCTTGTACGTGGAAAAGCTGCTGATCATGCCATGTAATGGATAAACAGGTTTCTAACATGGTTCTCAGAAAGGAAGAAAAATATCCTTTTGTCACCAGTCTGGGAAACCAAGCTACAACTACCTGATCACTCTCGTTACAGTGTGTATGGTAACACCCATTGTTTCATGTTCTCTGTGTATATAAATCTCCCCACTGTATTTTCCACTGAATGCATCCGATGAAATGAGCTGTAGCTCACGAAAACTTATGCTCAAATAAATTTGTTAGTCTCTAAGGTGCCACAAGTCCTCCTTTTCTTTCTGCTAGCTGTGTAACTCAGCTGTGGAGGAGACGGGCCTTGAGAGATCAGACTGCTGTCCAGTAATTTCAGCCACAAACTTCATCTATCTTTGAAATTGTTAGAATGTCCTAATTAAAAATAAGATAAGATTTAAAAAAAAAAAATCCACCTTTTTTTTAGTGAGGGGGGCAAAAATACCCACCATTTTTATGTCACACCAACAATAACATGAGTGCTCCATGCTATTCCATGACTAGGGCTTCTAGGCCTAGAGAAATAATAACGGTAAGATCTAAATAGAAGGGACAATAGAAACAGGAACATCTGCCTGGCTGAGTCCAGGGTTTGGGCAGAGAAATTGATGTAGTTTAGGTCAGAATGGCTTCAGCTCTGTCCAAAATATGGGGAAGGAAGAGTGTGAATTGATTTGCTGTCTGACAAAGAAATACTTCCTGGGGGAGAAAGAAGAGGGACCTGACCTGAGATATAGTACTAATTTTTTTTTTTTTTAACCTGGCTTTAATATGATTTTGCCTCATCCACACAGCCGGGGCCAACCTAGGTCAGCCTCAACAGAGTTTAACATGGTGGTGTTGGCGGTGTAGAAGGGCCTAATGAAACATCTCTCCCAATACATACAGCTGATTGTATTTCAGACTAGACTGGACAAAGCCCTGGGGAATATGCTGTTAAGGTGCAATCCTGTGGTGGATGAAGGAGCTAAGGCTATGTAGCCTGGAGACTGTTCCTGCTCCCATTGAAGTCAATGGCAAAAATGCCCAGTGCTTCAATGAGAGCAGAGCAAGGACCTTGATCAATTCACTATCCTGATGTTCCTTACTATAACCCCAAACCACTATAAACAGTGCAACTTAGTCTGGCTTGTTCCTCAGTGCTAGATGTCTTATTACTTTGCTTTTATATCAAGAGTCTTTGGAAGAAAAATAGGACATATAGTATTTGCCCAGAACTAGTAGCCTGGTTGAGAGGCAAGCTCAGTATCGACTTGCCCTTCAAGGCTTTGTGGTTGTAGATCTTAGATCTGGCCAGCCCAGCTCTGCTTATCACCACTGTTGTATCTGCATGATACCGGTGACTTTTAAGGAGAGGATCTGGGCGTCTCTGGGATACCCTCTAGAAGAAAGATGTTTGTTCTTTCCTATTTAACTCCCAGATAGACTGATTTCTACCCAGGCTCTTTCTGCTTGGGGAAGGCAGGTCAGATGCTATGTCCCAGAGTGGATGTCACTGAGGTGTCATGGTTCACAGTTGTTTTCATGACTCTCTCTCCCCTCCCTGTGCTCATGGTGCTGTTTTTCCTCCCTTCGGAATCCTATTTAAAAAAAAGTTAGGCAGAATCTCTGCTGTGTGGGTAAGCATGATGGTATCCGCCCTTTCTTTCCCAATTCCTGCCCTTCCTAGAGTGAAGAGGTCCGTCGCATGTGTCAGGCTAGAAGGATAGAGCAAAGTAATTAGAGAAAATGCCTGTTTCAGTGACTACGCTGATTAGGAATTGTGGGAAGTGGAGAAGATGAAATGCACCTCTTGGGGGAGGAGAGGATGTCTCCATAATCTGAAGGTCACTCATTGGAACCTCTGCCAAACTAGGATTTCTGGCACAGCAATTGCCACCTCAGCACAAAGTTAATCTTCCCAAGAGTGTGTTTGTTTAATGTTATGTACCTAAGGCAGTGAAACATACCGTGATCATTAAAGAAATTCACAGCCCAACAAGTACCTGTTAGAATGTAGGGGTGAAAAGTGGGTCTGTTAGCAGAGAGCTCCCCCACTCACCCTTCCTTGTAAGCCCTGGAAAGGATCCCAGTTTTCCAGAAGAAAGAACAGCTGTGTATGAGAGTTTCAGGCAGCCCCTGGAAGAGTAAACCCTGAATGATAAAGGTTCAGCAGATGACACCGAGCTGTACCTCTCCTTCTCCCATCTGTGAGAGTGTCCATCTGCTGACTCCTGCTGCCAGCATGTGGCAAAAACCCCTACCTTCCTAAATTCACTCATCCTGTCTGCTCACTTTCACAGTGGTGGCTGTGGCTTGAAACCACATGAAGGGGAATTTTGTTGAGATTAATCCTGGATTAGCTACAGCAAACTGGCTGCCGAAGCTTTATCTGTACGTCTACACTGCGAAAAAACCAACAAACCCTCCCCCACCCCCCCACCCCAACAACCCTGCAATGGAAAGTCTCTGAGCCTGGGTCAACTGATTCTTGCTTATGCTCCAGGGTTTAAAATTAGCCGTGTAGACATTCCTGGTTTGGGCTGGAGCCCAGACTCTGAGACCCTCCTCCCTTGAGAAGTCTCAGAGCCCATGCTGCAGCCTGAGCCAGAATGTCTACACTGCTATTTTTAGCCCAATAGTGTGAGACCCACTAACCCGAGTCAGTTGAACCAGTGTCTGAGGCTGGCTACTGTGAGTGGTGGGTTTTTTTTCAGTGGCCATACCCTGTCAGTGGCAGGTCTACACCCGCTACACAGAGACATGTGACGTTGTGATGACAGTAGACAGGTTTTCTTCATCTCACTGTGCTCTGTGATGGCTCTGCTGGGGAGAGCTGGGTTCTAGAGAGAACAGGACTTTGCAGTTGTATTGCATCTTGTGTCTGTGAAATGTAAAGCACATTGCAAGGGGGTCGGGTTCCTATTTACAGCAGGGGAAACTGCTGTGTAGAGAGGGGATTGGACCAAGGTCATGCATCACGTCAGCTGCAGGACTAGTGATGCAATCATAGAATCTCAGGGTTGGAAGGGACCTCAGGAGGTCATCTAGTCCAGAGGTCTCCAAACTTTTTGGCTCGCGCACTCCCAGGGTGAAGACTGGAAGACCAGCCACAGGCGTGCCGCCGACGGAAGAAGACTGCAGGGGAACACTGGCTGTGGACGTGCAGAGCTGCCGCCAAAGAAAAAAAAAAAGGCAGAGTGCCGTCCGGCGGCGCTCCTGCTGCCGCGCACCCCCTAGGATCATCTCATGCACCCCGTGGGGTGTGTGCGCCCCAGTTTGGAAACCACTGATCTAGTTCAATCCCCTGCTAAAAGCAGGACCAATCCCCAAAATCATCTAAGCCTAGGTCTCCTGTCAATCTAGGTCTCCCGTCTCCCAGTCTGCTTTAACCCCATGACACATCATATCCCATGAAGCATGGCATGACACTGCCTCACAGGCTGCATTTCTCTGATGCTGGACTGATCTGTATATAATCTGCATGTCTGTTTGTAAGTACTATGTGCGTGAGCCTAGTTGGGACTGTGGTATGGTTGGGTCCTTAGAAGAAATCATGGGGCCAGTTTCTGCAACCCCACTGAAGTCAGTGGCCACGACTTGGGATTTCATGGATGTGAGTACAGAATTTGGCCCAATAACATATGAATGACAACTAATAACCCAGCAGGAGCAGCCCCTGGTACCTGAGAGATGTGGAGATAGGTCAGGCATATAGGCAAGGAGAGTGTGTGTATGCATTCAGGAAAGACAGGTCATATGGTAACTGCCCACTCCCCTGCTGAAACCAATCTCATCTTCCTTCAAAATGCTAGGGAGAGGGTGTGTGGTACAGTGGACAGAACAGGTAACTGTGACCCTGGGCCCCCGGGTTCTACACTTCGCTGTCCCCCAATGTGACATTGGAGAAGTCACTGAATAACTCTGTACTTCAGTTTCTACATTTATAAATTAGGGACAGTGATAGTAACCTATATCCCAGAAGTGGTGGGGATTTAGTTGGTTGATGACTGCTTGGAGTTCCTTGGATGAAAAGGGCTGATGTTGGTAATTTGCGGTAGTGAGTAGGATGCAGTTACATAGGGTCTAATGTCAGGGACGCTCTTTGCTCATCTTCCTGCTCAGTTGATTTCAGGTTGCTTTTTGCTTTCATCTTGGTTGTTCTGTGTTCTATCATGCTTGGTCTTAGCACCCATTGCGTGTGACTCTAACTCTCTGTACCATGTCCAGAGTAGAGGCAGGATGTCCCAGTCCGTGACGTCTGTGGTGAGGTTCTCCACGTACAACAATATCACCCACTCTGCTGCCACTGCCCTGGTTATGGCCTCAGATAATGTGACGGCTCTGCCCCAAACAACAACATGGGCAATCAACGACACCAACATCACTGTGCCACACAAGTGCCTGCTCTTGTTATATGAAGACATTGGGAAGTCCAGGTGAGGTGTAGGAGCTGGGGCTGGACCTTGTCCAGGGAATGATGGCTTTCCCTCTCAGGTGTGGGAGCAGGGGAAAGTGAGGCTAGTGCCTGCCTCTGGGTAGAGGGAGATCATGCAAATACACTTTTAACTATTTTATTTTACTTTTTGCAGAGTCCGCTACTGGGATCTTATGCTTCTGGTTCCCAATGTACTTTTCTTTGTCTTTCTTCTCTGGAAATTGCCCTCTGCCAGGGCCAAGATCCATGCCACCTCCAGCCCCATCTTTACTGCCTTCTACATACTAGTGAGTACCAGCACTGCTCTCTGAATTAATTGGGGAGTGTTAAAGTGGTGTGTGTGTGTTTTTTGTCTGCCCTCACCCGCCTTCCCAGAACATTTATCATTCAGGGAGAACCTGAGTCAGATCCCTCTGAGGTAAAAGCCTTTTGGCTCCTGCATAAACATATAGATTTTCTTTTTAAATTAAGATTCACTGTTAGAAATGGGCACAGAGCGTCAGAGTTTGGATCCCGATCAGGATTCCACTTCTCTGAGACTTGGGGGATGTTTGGATAGGGGTGTTTTGGGTTGGGTCTTTCTCTACCATTACGTGACCTGTTTTTAATCTAGCACAATTTTTTTTTTACTTCACCTTGCTATCTAGTATCTTGTATCTTCCCTGCTCATTGCCTCTCTTACAATATGTCACATTTAAAACAACACTAACGTTTCCCTGAGATATAGTGGAAGTGAATCCCCTGAAAAACGAAATGCATGAAAGCTGCCAGAAAGAGACTGCACATTAGTTAACCCTCTATAGAAAATCCTGATGGGATGGGTTCCAGTTGAGCTCCGGGAACCTAGAGACCCCCAGCCTGGGAATTCCTCTCTGAGGCAGTGGGAAAGTGGCTGCTTGTTCCAGTTGGATGGTCCAGCTTTGGTTTTGAGAGTGTTCTCATGGATTCTTGGTGATGTGAGGTTGGAGGGTGAAAACAGAACATGTGGATGAGAACAGTCTCAAACACATAGGATCTCCTTTCCCTTTCCACAGTTTAAAAAGTCACATGCAGCCTCTAATCAGGATAGGAAAGTTTCTGTAGTAGCTACTACTGTCACAGGTGTGCAGTCAGGCCCCTGGCTGCCTCAAAACAGCATGCGTATATCTGTTGTCTGTCAGTGGGAGTAATGTGGCAGCAGTACAGTGCCCTGCTGGACAGTGTTCACCTTGGTAGAGGGAAATGCTTGTTTATACATGAGCAAGAGGAGAGGTGTCTTTCGTCAAACTAGGAATGAGTAGTAACAGACAGAAACGAGGAAGTGTGAAAAACTGAGGCACAGATAATAGCAAACCTAGACTCAATCTGTAATTGGCAGTTCTAAGCTGTGGAAAGGGGGTACAGTCAAGTAATGCAGGCCCAGCATGTCAGGGAGTGGCCTGTGGTGGTAGGAAATATTTGAACAATCTAATAATTAGAAAAATGTCCAGGAATTTTAAAAAGCATTATCAATAGTTTTAAATTTGGGTTTAAACCTTTCCCAATGGTGTCTGTGTGCGTGCAATTGGCTCAGCAGGGAGCAAGTGCCATGGAACAGAAAAGTGCAACTGACCAAAAACTAAAGGAAAGAAACAAAAGTGAAACTGTCTAGACTGTTGGCTTTGGGAGGAGGAAAAAAGTAACCCAACAGCAGAGACAGTGCAAAGCATTTCTCCCTTTTCTAATCTCGGGTATACTGGTAGGAAAAAGAGGACATAAAATGTTTCCTTTGAAATCAGGATTTGTAAATTGACAGTGTCCCTTCAGACAACACTCTCTGCCTGGTTTCTAAAAAGTGAATGAAGATTATCCTCTCCCAGGGCATGGTGCAGCCTGTTGGACTGGTGACAGCTAAAGACAGCCTACATCTCCTCTTTCCCCTTCTCAAAACCTACCTGAAGAGTTGCATTAGTGCGATTTACTGATTCCTTAGTGAGCTGATGCAGTTTCTTTATTGTTAAAAATAAGTATGGGCTTTGAGGAGAGGCCAGCCTTTTGCCCCTTAGAGCAGGAGCAACGAAGATCCAGGTCCCATACAGGGGAGGAAAATATTGCTGCTAAACTGGTGCCATGGAGCATTCAAAGATTTTGCTTCTCAGCGCAACTTTTCCCCCAACCTTGCACTCCAGTGAGAAGCAACACTGCGTTCTCTCCGGGGTTGCACTCCTTCCCCCACCCCACTGCAAGGGTGTCCTTCAGAGCACCCACTGGGATGTGTAAAGCTGGACTGCTCAGGAGGGTGCTATGAAGATCTGTAGTAGGTGGTATGCTTCAAAACACCCATGCAGTACACTTGATGATATGGTCCCCCTGGCTTACCCTCACCGTGGAAAGGCCAGTAAGGCTTGTGAACTGGTTAATCAGATTTGACCTTTCCCCCTATTGGGATAGGTTTATCCACTTTATATCCCTAGAGGATTTTGCATAATTTAGCCCATAATGCTGGCAACTCTTCTTGGACAGACTTGTGTTTTCAGAAACATGAAAGCCCTTGGCCTCAGCTGATTTCCCATCTTCTGCATTTCTGAGGGCTGCCAGTGTTGAATGAATGGTCTGTGGAGCTCTGCTTTATAACAGATCTGAGGTCTGTTAGCTGATACCCTGTGGTATCTGTTATCTGGTGAGCTCTGTATATTGAGTCACTAGGCACTTGCCCTCATCATCGGGAGTGGTATTTTTGCTGATTGACTTGGGCTGAGGTGGTGGGAATGGGAAAGAAAGAATTAGCTTCTTGAACCCTGGAGAATCTTCCCCCCCCCCCCGCCATTGTTTATAAGGACTGGAAGAGGCTCTTTTCACCTGTTGTTGAGGGCAATTAGGTGTTCATTCCTTCACAGGGTCTAAGCCTGCTGCCTATGCAGTACTCACACCAAGTAAGCCTGGGGAGAGGGAGACCAGCCCCCGGACTCTATCTTGCATCCCTGACTCAGAAGTCCCTGAGTACTAACTGTTAGGCTTCCAAGCTAAGGTAGAAACTGGTTCTTAGAGCAGAATTCCTGATTATCATCTTGGGCAATGTGCAGCATATGGGCACCAGCTCACCTTTGCTTTCTTTTCCTAGGTGTTCGTGGTGGCTTTAGTTGGGATTGCTCGTGCTGTTGTCTCCATGACAGTCAGTGCCTCTGATGCTGCCACAGTTGCTGATAAGGTGAGTACAGCACTGACGCTAGACACTTCTGCATTGCACAGTTATGGCCCTTGTGATTAGCAGCTTCCTGTTTACATGCATACTGGAAGAATGTTTTTATCTGCAACGTTCATGGTGTGTCGATACTGTGGAGTCTTGTTTTGATAACCCTATCCAAAGGATCACTGCATCCAGATCTGTGGAACAACGAACTTCCTAAATAACACATCAACAGTAGCAAAATCTCCATCTTGTAAGGAGAGAATGAATCATCGAGGCATCTTGATGCTAAGCCAGGTCCTCCTACAATTGCCTAATGACTGGCAACACCCAGACTTTAATGTCCCTGGCTGCAGCCTTGTGAAAAATGTGGGGTACTTCCCTAAGTGCTGAGAACAAACAACAATTGAAGTCCATTGTGATCCTAATAACTGAATGTTTCTGGATCAGCAAAGAGCAAACAGGAAACGTCTTTGTAAAGTAAATTTTGTTCTAGAGAGTTAAATGATTAACACAAGAGGCCATCCCCTAAATCAAATGCTCTGTAACTCTTGTGTTGTTGGAGGCAGAAGTCCGACCTAGAAAATGTAACCTTCTCTAGTCAGAGTTCCCTGGGTGCCCTTGTAGTTTCTAGGTTCCCTTTCTCCCTGATGTTCCCTGTGGCAGACCACTGCTCTTTAACACACTACTTGTTGTGAATGGCTAGCTAGATCACGGTAACCTTTTTCCTGAGCCTCTGTTGCATGCATCAGGGTCTGAACATTAAATAAGGGTTGAGATTTCATGAGAGTAACTGTCTGTCTCTGTTCAGCTCTCTGCTGTTTGTGGTGCTGGGAAATCATAGAGGGGCATAGATACCCTGTCCAGTACTCCCTACAGGGGATGTGCTGTTACGTGGCTTTTCAAGATGGGGTGCTATAACAGAAGGTGCATCTCTTTTTAAATAGGAATTGCTGTTGTGCGACTGGTTTCTGAAGTTCATGAGTAACTCCCCCAGGGGGTATACTGGGTACTCCTGAAACTCCTGGGTTCTAATCCCAGATATACCACTGCTTCACCTTAGGGAAAATCATTTCACCTCTCTATGTCTTGGTTTCCCTGTGTGTGAAATGGAAATAATAATTACCGGCCCCTTAGGGGGCTTTAAGAGTTTATTATGCTTTGAGATCCCTGGATAGGCAGCACCAGAGGAGGGCACTAGAATTTTCCCAGTCATAGATTTGCTGCAGATAGCTCCAGTAGTCCTAGTTTCTAAGGCGATGAAGAGACATGTTGTTTGAGTTGTCAGTGATTGGGAATGCAGCAGAGATGACACGCCCTGCCCCAGAGGGAAGGCTTTAACTATGCTGAACTGGGGTCACTTTCTCAGTCCTTCAGGTGGTGCATCATTCATTCCCACTCAGTCCTCCTCTGCTGGGTGGGCAGTGTGTGCAGTGCTGAGCCTTGTGGCAAGGGGTATCATTGGGGGGATTAGTTACTTTTCGGCACCCTCCTCTGCATCTTCTGCAAAGGGAGGGTGAGGAAGGTATATGGCAGGGGTGGCCAAACTGCGGCTTGCAAGCCATATGTGGCTCTCTTATAGTTACAGTGTGGCTTGCGGAGCCCCGCATTCTCCACCTACCAGACTGGGGTTGGGGGGGAGAGGTTAGGGCTTTTGCCCTGAAATGGGGTGGGGGGGCGAGGGGATCTAGGGGTTTCAGCCCCTCAGGAGGCACCAGCCGGGGCTCAGGGCTTCAGCCCTGCTCTTGCTTAAGCTCCAGATACTGGCAGGCACCTCCACGGGGCTGAAGCCTTGAGCCCCATCACCCTGCTGCAGGGCAGAAGCCCTGAGCAGGTGTGCTTGGCTCTCAAGCTTCTGAAGATTATCATATGCACCTCGGAGGATCAGTAAGTTTGGCCACCCCTGGTGTATGTGAATGATCAGTTCCATCTCAAGAGTGTCTTCCCCCAGAGCAACGGGGTGGAGTCTCACTGAATAAATTTCCCCTTGGCTCCTGGCCCTCCTAACCCTGGTCTTTGTTGTCTCTTAGATCCTGTGGGAGATCACGAGATTCTTCCTCCTGGCCATTGAGCTGAGTGTGGTGATTCTAGGCCTTGCCTTCGGTAGGTGCCAAAACGCTTCCTGCTTTCCAGTGCTCCGGATGTGTGTCTTCCCTTTCGTGGAGGTGGTGTGCGCAGCCTGGCCTCTGCCTGCGGGGGAGCAGGGGTGGGGTAATCCTGTGAAGCGGGGCATCACTAGAATAAAGATGGGAGACAAGTAAGACACTCGTTATTGGAAATGACTTGCGGGGTCATTTGTGCAATTTCCTGTGTGGCTCATGTAGTTGCCAGGACAGCACATGTATGTTGGAGTCACACGTGTACTTGTGGTGATGGTGCATGCAAATTGGGGGAAGGAGAGGATGCTGGTGCACAAGCTGACATTTGAAAATAACCCCTCCAGCAAGTAAATTCTTCCCATGGGCAAATTCTTCTTAAAGTCATTATTATATTTGCTTGAACCCCACTGTCTTTGGGAGAGAGATTCTTCCGTGGCCCTTCTGTCCACCTTCTTTTGCTGCCTCTTCCCTCTTAATGGCATGGGCAGGATGAAGCCTCCTCTGCAGCCTGTCAGAGGTGCTTTCATTCGAGCCCAGGGAGATACTCCTTAGCATCGAGTAGTCCTCAGGTGCATGTGTGTACTCATCGATATTTCTGTCATGCTCATCAGTGCAATATCCAAACACGATCTCCCACCTCAGAGGGCTCACAACCTCAATGCAGGTTCTCCCAAATGACATTGGCCCTGTCTTGACTCCTCCTTTAACTGTTCTCTGAAGAGAAGAGTTTCCAGCAGTTCTATGTAGATAACACTGCTGCTCACTCTGACTTGTAACCGTACTGGAAGTTGTTGTTCTGGGGTGGGGACAGGTGGGAAGGAAACAGGGTCAGACTCTCCTGTTTTATAGATGTGACATGCTGAGTCCCGTGAAAGGCTTAAGCAGTCTGGGCAGTAATACAGCTGCCATGGGTTAAATGAGCTGTAATCCTCCTACTGCGGGTGGAGGTGGACAAGGGCTTTCTAGTGTGACAGCAACTCCTGGAGACAGGTGATGTGGTGAGGGTGACCGGGGGTATGATCTCTCCTTGCTCTTTTCAGGTCATCTTGAGAGCAAGTCCAGTGTCAAGCGTGTACTGGTGATCACCACAGTGTTGTCCCTGGCTTACTCTGTTACCCAGGTGAGCACACTGGGGCTTGCAAGCTAGCGCTAGCGAAGGAGAATGGGCTGTTTGGTGTTGAGCAGTGTTTGCCTGGGAGGAGCTGGCCAGCTGTGTGGAGAAAGGGGCCTGTTGCTTTGGAGTCTGGGGAGGAAAGAAGCATGGCTAAGAGTAATCTCCATTCTGCGAGACTGGAGCCTTTCACCTCTAGAGCAGTGGACTGAAAACAACCCAAGTCAAGGGGACTGGCTGGCTCAGTGGTGGGTCAGGGAGTCCGATACCAGGTTAGGGTGGGGACTGGCTGGTTGAAGGGATTGAGGAGTGGGTGCTAGAGCTTTTCACATCTAGGGAATTACTTGCAAATCCAGTCTTTGGTTCCATCCTAACTGGAAGGAGAAATGGGACATGCTTATTGAACTAGAGCTGTCCAGTGGGCCCTCACAGCCTCGCCTCTCCTGCCTCTTCCGGAGCTGAGAGCTGCCACTTCCCATCACATTATCACGTGGTATATTAGCTGCGTCTCGCTCTCTCTGAACAATGTGCTGTGTGTCTGGGCAAGTTCTCATCTTCACTAGTGGCAGTGGCCAATAGTTGTAATAGCTTCTCTATTTGAGGCAGTACCAGAGTAACAGGGCAGTCATTGTTCAGTGTTTGGGCTTTCACATACAGAGGCAGTGAGCTGATTGTTACCACATGATACGCTGGAAGAGCCTCATTAAATACCAAGTGGCTGAACTGTATCTGGATTCAGTAACTCCCTCTTTCTCTTCATTGTCTGTGCAATCAGATCTGTCCAGCCTGCTTTCAGATGGGCTCCAGGTATATGAGACTGGGTCTTCTTTCCCAGCTGTGCACAAGTGCAAGGGTTTTACAAATTGGATGTTACAGTAGGAAGTGTCAGTTCTGGAGGAGGGAATATGGCACTTGCCATTCCAGGTCAGAACCAGTGGTCCTTTGAGTCCAGTCTCCTGACTCCCATCTGTTCTGTTTTCTGGGACATCACAGGAGCTGTTCTCCAGACCCAAGCACTGTGGCTGGTCCCCTAGCTTGCTTGCTCCCTGGGCCCCAGGGGAAAAGTCTCCCTTTGCAATAACATGTGATTGCACATACATTCAGATGGCTGCTTATCTGTTACTAAACAGACACCTACCCTTGCCACTTTCTTCCCACTCCTTCTGCTGTATTGGAGTCCTCTGTTGGAGTCCCCAGCTTCTCACCCACATCTCATCCACTGTCTTCCTAGGTGAGGCTGAATTGCCTGGGGGCGGGAGGGAATGTCTGAGCAATGCAAGGTGCAGGGTTCAGTGGAGCAGTTGTCTGAGCATGTGTAAATGCAAATATCCATTGTCCGGTATCCTGTGGTGGGGTGTGTGTGTGTGTGGGAGATAGAGGGGTCTGTAAGGGGCTGTGTCCTGATAATGCCTTTATCTCTGTTAGGGGACACTGGAGATCCTCTACCCTGATGCTCACCTCTCAGCGGAAGACTTCAATATCTACGGCCATGGAGGAAGGCACTTCTGGCTTGCCAGCTCTTGTTTCTTCTTTCTGGTAAGGACAAAGCACGTTCTGACCCTCCCTGAGGCACATGGAAAGACAGTCCGGAGAGGTATCAAATTGATACCTTTTCCCTAGTCAGTGTGTCTATTATCTCTGCTTACCTAGCTGCTTGATGTCTTCTAAACAGCATAGTGAGAATTGGGTCCAGGTAATCAAATGCAAAACCCCAGGCACTAGACAGCTCCTGGCTCCCCAAAGGGACCTGCTTATTCTCTTGTAACTCCCTGTGTGCAGTGCTGTAACTGGGAACACCTGGGAGTTGATGCCTCTCAGAGGGGTAGGGAGGGCAGATGAAGATTGGGTGGGAGGGGCTCCATTTCTGGCAGCAAAATTCTAGTTCTGCTTGATGCCTTTTCCCAGTGTTCCAGAGTGAAGAGCCCCTAAAGGCCTGAGCCAGCAAGTTGCTGAGCACCTAGGGCTCCCATTGGCTTTAATATCAATGGCTTGGTTACCTGTATTCCCTTCCTTTTACCTGTGAATTCATATTTATATAGTGCCAATGGGGTGCCTGGCACTTTGCACATCCACCACTCCCTTGAGACTTTTGCAGTTTAACCCCAAGCCAACTGTAGAACAGTTTGCAAGGGGCAAGGACCTAGCTGTTTCCTTCTGCCTCAACAGGTCTATTCCTTGGTGGTGATTCTTCCAAAAACTCCCCTGAAAGACCGGATTTCTCTGCCATGTAAGTGGACACACCAGGCTTCATATGGTATAACCAGTCAATGCTGGGACAGAACCATGTATTGGGGGTGCGGGTTGGTTTGCATTTTCCTTAGGTATCCCCTGTAACCAAATCTACAGCAAACACACACACCCCCTCCTCAACCAGTGACTGGGACATTGGGTATGTGGCAAGGGATTGAGTAGAGGTTTGCTGCTCAGTAGGATCTCCATTTTCTGGGTGATTTGGATACTGTAGGTTTGGTGTAGGTGGTCAGTATTAGCCCTCCAGCTGCCAGCACTTTTTCATACTGCCAGATAAAAATGTCAGAGCACAGTGGGATACAGGTAGGCATCCATGGTAAATGAGGGTTACTTTGCGGCTCTGTAAAGCACAAGTAGCTAATACTTGTGTGGTGAAATCCCTGCATGGTGGCATGTCTTGCATTTCAGAGTCTCTCCCTCCTGAGATGACAGAGGGTGAGAGAGCATGTTTGTGTTCCCACTGTGACCATCAAGGGATTGAATGAAGAGAATGGGGCTTTTCCATTATTGTGGGTGTGGGGAGAGGTGTTATGTGTTTGAGTCCTAGTAAGACTGTCTTGTAAGGTGTGATGAGTACCATAAGGAAGGACTTGGCTTCTGAAAGGTAAAGCCCCTTGTTGTGTAGCACATGAGATGGTGTCATCTTGGCATACAGCTGCTGGCTGGCTACTTGGGAAGGAAAAGCTCTAAGCTTTCCAGACTTACTGCTTGGGAGTTGCTAATCAGTCTTATCTGGTTTGGCAGCTCTGCCATTTTTGTTAGTATGATACATTTGGAGCATCCTGAAATGGCTGCAGTAGCTGAACTGGGGAATGGGTGGTTTAGGTTATTGGAATATTTGCATTAGATTATTCATTCTTTAAATGAAAAAAAGTTGTCAATGTGATGCTCACCAAAGCGAGAGGACATGCTGGAGGCAGGTTCCGGGCTGGCTTCACCAGACCACAGCTCTGCCAATGCACCTTGCTCCAGATCTGCAGTATCCCCTGCTATTCCAGTCTTTGCCTCTTTCAGTTCTGCTGATACCCTCACACCTGATGCAGAATGCCTCTTGTCTGTCCTCCATGCAGCTTTACTAATGCCCTTCATTCCTGACCCACAGCACCTCATCCGGTTCAGTCGCAGGCCTTTGTGTCCAAGATTGCCACCTGTGCTACACATTTGTTTGCCTTGTGACCAATGCTGGGTCAACGTGCCCAGCTGTAACAGACTTGCATGTGTTGCCCTGACGCCACCCTTTTTAACTCCACCTTTTTCTTGATGATGCGTGAGCCTGTGGTTTCATCCATTATACCATATTAATATATAGCTGTTTATTTCCTGGTCTCCAGCAGAGCTCCTGGCAGAAGATGTGGTATGGGGAAGGAATATGGGACATGGACTTCCTGCATTCCAAGCATTCCATAGCGCTCTCCCTTTAAATGCTTGACACACTTCCCCTCTGCACCTGTTGTGGCGCCTCCATCAAGCAGAGTGTGTCTATCGTGAGCGTGTATTCAGTCAGTGCTGATGGGGTTAGATTTCATCCTTGTGTCCTTGTCTGTTTTACAGCTAGGAAGAGTTTTTATGTCTATGCTGGAATTCTCGCTCTGCTGAATCTGGTGCAGGGCTTGGGCAGCGCCCTTCTCTGTGTGGATATCATAGAAGGATTGTGGTATGTATGCAGGGGGCCCCAGCATCCTGCCTCCTACTGTAGATGGGTCCTTGGGTTGGCAGGAGGAAGAGAAGTCTGTAGCCCAATTAAGACGACTTATTTAATGAGTGCCTTTTATCACCTTCTCCCCCTGCCACAGGCAGTCTTGGGATAATGAACTTCCTTACTGTCCTTAAAGGGAAATAAAGTAGTTGGCATGAATTAAACAATACTTCTGTTAAGATCTCCCTGTAGGAAAAAGCAACAGTGCAGGAAGCTACTGGGAATGAGGGGTTTGTGGATTTGTTCCTTAGCTCTCTCCACACTGGCCTCTTGTGCTAGGGTGGGGCATTGGCTTCGTCTTGTCTGGGGTTTTCACAATGAGAGAGACCATGTTCAGTAGATATTAATGGAAGACATGGAGACAGACAGTTTCCGAGAAGTAGTGTGGGGACACCCCTTGAGTTGTGCTTTGGAACTGGCAGGATCTGCTATGGGGTGCAATGCCCTGCTATTAAGGAGCTCGCCCAGAGTTTAAATTGGGATGTACTGGACTGAGAGACTGTGCTGTTGACGCTTGGGGCCTGTTGGTTCTGTCTTTGAGGGCCTGGGAATGGTGAGGCTTTGATGGCAGAACTCATTCATTTGCACCAAGGTCATGTACTTGTTTCATAGAAGGTTCTTCCTGCTGTTTTCCCCACACCCTCTCTTCCCCCCTCCCCGCCCAGTGTGTCTTTGACACTGGATGGAATGGTTGTGTTCGTTAGACAGCAGACGCTAAATGACTGCATGTCTCTTCTTGCCTCCAAAGCTGTGTTGATGTCACCACGTTCCTCTACTTCAGCTTCTTTGCACCTCTCATTTATGTGGCATTCCTGAAAGGCTTCTTTGGGTGAGTAGCCAAACCAACAGGGGGTTTTGATGTCAGTTGATCTTTGTGCCCAACTTGCCCCGTTTGTAAAATAAAAGCAGTGGATGGAGCACTGGGTAGGGACTCAGGAGAACTGGGTTCTGTTCCTGGCTGTGGCGCTTGTTCCCTATGTGATTGTGGGTAAATTACTTCCCCTCTCTGGGACTACATTTCTCAATCTTTATAATGGGGATAATACTTAAACTCCTCACAGGAATTTGTCAGGATTAAGCTGTTAATATCTGCAAAGCACTAGTAAGAGCTAAATTGTTGGTCACTGAAATGAATAGTGAACTGATTAGTCGAAGCCTGAGTCCCACAGCAGGATTAAATTGGTATTTTGGCTCCTGGATTTTCTCATGGGTTTAGAGAAAGGGTCTGTGGATTAGCTAGCATGATGGATATTCAAAACCAGAGGCTAGGAACTCCTTGAACATCCCTCCGCCCCTCACAAATGCTCTCTGAGTAACTGATTATTGGGCTTGAGGTGCCACTGTGTGGCCAGACCAAGGAAATGCAGTGTCTTCATTTTACCAATATTTCAAGAACAGGACACAACAAAACACAAAGGCATGTTTGTGTGAATCTTAGAATCATAGAATATCCGGGTTGGAAGGGGCCTCGGGAGGTCATCTAGTCCAACCCCCTGCTCAAAGCAGGGCCAATCCCCAATTTTTTCCCCAGATCCCTAAATGATCCCCTCAAGGATTGAACTCACAACCCTGGGTTTAGCAGGCCAATGCTCAAACCACTGAGCTATCCCTCCCCCCAATTTGCCAGTGCGGGAAGAAGCAGCAGATTCTTAACCCCATTTAAGGGCTTGCAGTACTCTCAGAAGAAGTAGAACTGTCTCTGGGGCCTTATATGCAGTCTGGAGGGGGCTAAGTTTGGTTTGGAATTGGCTGTAGATGGAAACTGCTGGTTCTTCAGATAAAAAAGCCTCCTTTCGGAGCAAGTCTGAAATCCCCTGGAGGAGCCTTGAGATGCAAGCCTGGCCTCATTTAAGTCAGTGGCAAAACTCCCATTGATTTCAGTGACACCAAGATTTTCACCATTGGTATTTAGGAGCTAAATGTGCTGTGATGAAAGCATATTCCTCTACACACCGCATTCCAGCCATGGCTGTTCAATTGTAGCTCTGCTGATGTACCTCATTGCTGAGCTGCAGAGCCCCCTGCTGTTTCAATCATGGAACTCTCTTGTTGCGAGCACCATGGGATAGTGTGCTCTGGCAGACTGTCCTTTAGGGCAGTGCAGGTTCCTTGTAGCTGTTGTTGCATCTCTTGTGATACTGCAGCACTTAACAAGGATCTTAATTCTTTTACCTGACTCCAGGTCTGAGCCGAAGATCCTTTTCTCCTACAAATGCCAAGTGGACGAGCCTGAGGATGTTGATGTGCACCTCCCCCATGCCTACGCTGTGGCCAAGAAAGAGGGTGTGGATTCCAGCTTCTACTCCAGCACCCAGATCGACACCACAGCCTACCTGGATGACGTCGCCTCAATGCCCTACCATGTGGGCAGTGTCAACAGCATTGACAGTGACCGCTGGAAAGCCATCAATGCCTAAAGCAATCCAGACCTCCAGCACGATGCCACCCTCCCTGATTACACAGCTGCTAGGATGTGCATCACAGACTGGTCCTCAGACACTTGGTGTGGCTTTTCCCTCTTCCCCTGGGCTTTTAAAAACCCATCATGGAACAAAACAGCTCCAGCCCTCCCAGAAGGACCTTTTGTATCTTCATGTGATAACAGCCGAGACCAGCTTTGTTCATAAATATCTAAATGCTGAACCTTCCTGATCCTTGGTGTTCCAGATGTAGCTGTGACCCAGAAGATGGGCCTGGCTGGCACCCATTCCTTTTCAGTGACTGAAAACACTTGTGTAACTGGGAGGGGAGTGGGATTTTGGGGTGGGCGAGTTGAGATTGGCTTCTCCATGGCGCATATGTACGAAGCATTCAGTACATGGAGCCAAAGGCACTTTCATGGGCTGTCTCAGCAGGTCCCATTTCCCAAGTCATACTGCATTGTATTGTAGGAAGAGCGCTGTCTTGAGAGAGGAAGCCTGGGAGAGCAGGGCTATTCCCCAATTCCAGCAGATACTGATGGAAATTATGAACTGTAGTAAAATGGGAATTACAAGGAGTGTTTTGGGCATATATGGGAGAAGACTCACTGATGAGCGAACTGTTAAATGTGTCCTGTGACCATTACAGGGGCACTGTCTGGGATTTGGCAGATCAGCTATATCTTGGGTCAAGGAAAGAGACTTTTAAAGAGCCAGCATTGCTGTCTGTTGGAGAGACAGTGGCTATGGAAGGGTCTCTGAAGATCACACTTATGCATAACTGAACTCCTACTGTGAACTTGCGGTGACAAGCGGCTATGTATTTTACACTGAATTAGGGTTGAATTTTAAGAATAAAATTGGCCAAGTGTGAGGTTTTTCAGATCTGCACTCTGCTTTACAATCCTGGCTGAATTCCAGGGCTCAAGGAGGGCTGTAGAGGAGGAAGCTTTTTGGCTCTGAAGATGAAGGCTCCAGAGGAGTTCAGATGGTTGAGGCAGAGCAGAAGCCCCAGATGAGTCCTGGCTGCCAATGACCAATAACCGACCAAGAACTCTAGGAAGCCAGCAGAGTGCTAGGATCAAGGTGACTAGTGTTTTAGGTTGGGTGGTAGATGGGATGCAGGCAGACAGGCAAACTGCTACTACTTCCGTGGCAGCTTCCTTCTCCTGACCTGTGGTGCATTACAGCTTGCAGCCTAGCACAGTCTCACTGGCCTAAACAGATTTTATAGCTGGATGTATTGAAATTATTTCCTTGCACTTAGAACGTGGTTCTTTTAAAGACTATCCAGGACCTGCCATTACCCTCCTCACAGTGAAAGAACAACTTGCATCTCTCCGATCTGGCATGGCTTTCCTGGACCTCATCGTGGTCCAAACACGTGGCTGTTCCACTGAAAGCTGCAGCAGCCAGTCTTGTGGCGCCTTTGTGGTTGGTTTGTATTCACTGATGGCAAATAGGTTTATGCCTGTAGCACTGCGGGTGTGCGATTCCAATGGGGATCTCTGGGGCGGTGGAGGCTCTGACATAAGAAATGGCTGCATTCCATTGGAGATGGCAGGGTGAGGATATTTTAAACATTTGAGGATTTTTTTGTGTGTCTCTCCTATGACTGTTGTGCCTGGCAGCCAAAGAAAGTGAAGGAGGCAAAGATTTTAGGAAATGGTCATCCTGTGGTGTGGTGGTGGTTTGAATTGTGAGTGGGATGGGGGCAAAGGTAACACAGCCAGCTTCTAGAAGTGCTCAATGTGGGGTAAGGGAAACACCAGGAGTGAGAACTGGACACTAGTGCAGGTCTTTGAAGTCATGTAGGCACCTTGTTTCTCTCGTTAACGAGCAGTGCAGCCTCTCTACAGCCAGGACGTTCCGCTGCCTTTGGATTCTGCCCTGCTGATCTGCAGACAGTGCTGTGACATGACGGAAAAGATGCTTTGGTTTATTTTTAAAACTTTTATCTACTTTTTAAAGAAAAACGTTTCTGATTGCTCCTGCTGAACTGTTCGTGTAGCTCCTTAGAGCCTTTTAAATCCCCACTGCCTGGAATGACACAGACAGAAGGAGGCTGAGACTGGTCTTCCTTTTTGTCAAGCTACTTGGCCAGGTCAGCCTTTTCCACACTAGGGACATGTTGCAGTTTCCTACCATTGCGGACACCAGTTTAGCTCCATTGGTGTTAGCAAAGTGGGGATCCTAGGAGAGGGTGCTTGAAACACTGCATCTGTGGGTAGGGTTAGACGGCATGCTCCCTGAAATCCTAGAAGCACTAGGCCACCAGGGTGGCTGACACCACTGAAGTTGGACCAGCGTAGCAACAGCGGGAGAACTCTTGCAAAAAATTCCCTAGGGCAGGCAGGGCTTTGCAGACTGGTTCAAGAGTGTTAGTCTTGTTTGTGTAGACCTATCCCACCCCAAGGAGTAAATGCTGAGACTCCTCAAGACCCTGAAAATGAGGACTTTCTTGTTCTCCTGGGTGATGTGAAGAACAGACTATGAATACAACCTATTATCTGCTAAATCAAATGCCAAAGGATCAGCTGGGCAGATGTTCAGTGTGTCCATAAGTTCCCCTTCTCCAAGATTCAGTGTTCCCCAATATCATCTCTGAATGTCCCATATTGTCTTCTGCTGACGAGCTTCTGCATTAGGTCTAGGACTGATCTTCCATCTGTTGTCTTTTTATGTCTGTAACGTCTCTGAGGCCAGCACAAGATATGGTCCATGAGTAGAAGTGTGTGTGTATGTTTTTTGGGGGGCTGGGGGAGATTAAAAATAGAGTAATGTATATTTTTGTTTGTAAAATAAATAAAATGAAGTTTGGTATAAACAGTAACACTTTCTCTCTCAAATCACACAGGCTGTGTAAATGTTCTTCAGAATCTTTTAAAAAATATATTTGCCATAGTTTATGTAACATCCCCTTTTCAAAGGGAAAGGCTGTGACTTTTGTACATAGTCTTTTATCTTAGCAATAACCATCTAACAGTATGGAGCTGAAGTGACTGGTCCCCAATTCCAAGTAATTAAGTCAATTAAGACTTCAGCTATCCTCTCTTCTTCCTCCTGGTGCTGAAGAGTGGGCTACCTGGAACTTCTTTTGTGCTGCACACACTCCATAGTCCTGTCTCAAATCTGATGCAGCTTTCAGAGCTGGTGAGCACTGATCCTGAGCTGGCCAGAGAGGTTACTCCAGAGGGGGCAACTTGCTACCAGGTGTCCACAAGGCTATTGTCACCTTCGACCGCAACCCCACCTTCCAGAGCACTACTCCAAACCGAGCCGCCTCCCCAATTGCCTGTGCGGATACCATTTTGTCTGCTGAAACAGTCATTCAGTTTTCATCTCTTCCTGTCTTGACTCTAACAGCTCCCTTATCTATGTCCCAGTCGTCCAGACTCTAGCTTGTGCAGAATGCTGCTGCGGCCACTTCCTATGACAAAGCAGCTTGATGTACGCTCACTATTTGCAGATAGTCCTATTTGAGAGACATGAATTTTAAGATCCATTTAGAAAAATACTCTTAAAAATACCCCCCCCCCCCATTGCCTTTCTGTAGCTGATTTCATGGACTCTTGTGCTCTCTGTTCTCTCCACCTCTTTTGGGCTGGGATGCTGCCCTATGCTCCCCTTTGGTGGGGTCTGGCTGCCTTGATGGGCTCCTTGGACTTGTTGGCTCCTCCCTGGAGGGAACCATAGTGAGCAAGGAACCCATAACAAGCAAGGACAGGCTAAGACTTGAGCATAAAGGAAGACCAATGAGAAGAAACCAGAGCAGACCAGCCAGATGTCATCCCAGACTGGGGAAGTGAATGGGGTGAAGAGGGTAAAATGCACCAGTTTGTGACTGACCTGTTTACCATATCCTGCCTATGGTATCTGAATTCAGCAGGCATCAGTGAGACAAGTTTTTCTTTCTTTCCTCTCCCTTCTCTTCTCTTGTGTGCATTTGCCTAAAGAGCAGGACCAATCATAACAAGCATAACACCAGCAGCAGACTGAAACATTCTTTTCTCCAACAAAGTCTTCTGGTACCAGCAAGAAACTTTTGAAATCAACATTTTCCCTCTGAAAGACTTTGAATGTGAATGAAATATGAAGGGGAACTTTCCTATAATAACTTTTAACGTTGAATTCCAAGAATTTTAATGTTTCTCTTTTGCTTGTCATTTTTTTTTTTAACAAATGTTTGGAAGGATTGTCCTAGTGTGGCCATTATGGGAAAAGCGTCTCTTTTACACAAGAACCTGAATCCACAATTAACGGTTTCATGTTTAAACAGGAAAACACGGGTTCTAGTATCACCTTAGCATCTTGGAGCCTAATACCCCTCTATCACAACATAACACGATGATTTGTTGGTTCATATATTTAATCTCATTAGTGGTGGAATAATTAAATAGGCATATCTTGCCAACTGCATATCACATTTTAGTTGTGCTAACTGTGCCAATTAACTATATTCACTGAGTAAAATGCACTAAATTAAAGAAATTAAGAGATTCCAAGTTCCATCATTGTAGCACCAAGCCTTTGTGTTGGAGCAAATCCAAATTGCCTTCTGTAAAACCTTTTAATATGTCTCCAACACAAAACTAATCATCTTCTTCTTGCAAAATTTTTATTTTAGTAATTTCGTAGAAAGCCTTGTGTATCTAGATCTTAAAATCTCTAGAATGACCTATACCCTCAGGATAACTGGATAGACCAAATAGTGGCAGATTTTCTTCTCTGTTTGCTGCTATATAATAGGATTGAATCTTGCCTTCTGTTCTTGTATGCCAGATGCAAATTTTTGAAAAAGTAAAATTCTTTTGGCAGGGTGCAAGGCAGCCATTTTTCAGGCTTTTTGTAATGAAATCCATCTATTGGGGGTAATGATGTATTTGGATGATCACAGTCCTTGTCTTTTGTGTGCCCATTTGTCTGGCCCTGAATGTACATTGGGCCTTCTTTTATTTCTCAGTTTTTATGAGAAAATTCAAAAGATTTGGATCAAGCTGTCAAATAATTCACCATATTTTTTGGGCAATGATATTTGCCACTGTTTTTCATGGACCGATAAAGCAGTAGTAATAAGTTGTATTACCTAATTATCTTAAAATTACTTTGGATTTCAACAAATATCCCATGCTTAGTTATGCCCCCTATAAGAGTCCACACAACTGTTTCACTATTGATTCTCTGAGGCAGTGGCTTTCAACCTTTCCACACAACTGTACCCCTGTCAGTAGTCTGATTTGTCTTGCGTACCCCCAAGTTTCACCTCACTTTAAAAACTACTTGCTTACAAAATCAGATATAAAAATACAAAAAGTGTCACAGCACACTATTGCTGAAAAATTGCTTACTTTCTCATTTCTACCATTATAATTATAAATTGATTGGAATACAAATATACTTACATTTCAGTGTATAGTATCTAGAGCAGTATAAACAAGTATGAACTGTTAGTTTGTACTGACTTCACTAGTGCTTTTTATGTAGCTTATTGTAAAACTAGGCAAATATCCGAATGAGTTGATGTATGCTGGAAGACCTCTGCATACCCCCTGGTGTACCTGTACCCCTGGTTGAGAACCACTGCACTGAGGTATTTTCTGTAATACATAGGTAGAATGACATGGAATGTTAGCTGCTTTGAGGAATCATTCTTTGAGTGTGATTGAGGGTAATATCTTTTCAAGGAGGCCTTTTAATAGATTAGCTATAATTCTGTCATTGGACAGAAACTCCAGCATTGGGAAACTGTCTTGCAGAGATGAATGTGTTTTATTTAAATATTTTGGAAACAAGTTATTTTCTTTTTGTCCGTTAACATGATACAGGCTCTGGGCACTCTTCTCTCTAAAGTTCTTTCACCTTAGCTAATGGAAGGTAAATAAGCAGGACACCTTTCTTTTCCATTTAAGTCTATGAGCATTCTAGTCTCTGCATTCAAATAGCTCCACCTTTACTGCTCAAGTCTATGGGCATTCAGTCTGTCTCCATTATTGGCTATGAAAATTCATACATCTGTCCTATTTCAGCCTTCTCTTTTAAAGCATATGGCTACGCACCCTTCTTTGGTAAAATCTATAGCCATTCGCTTCTGTTAAGTCTTTTAATAGGTCCTGCAGCCATAAATCAATAGAAGAGAGGTGGTGGAGGGTTGACTCCAAGGGAGGAAAGGCAACTGCCTGTACAAAAAGTCCTGTCAAATGCTCCTTCATCCCACCAGCCCCATAAAAAAAGTCCCTTTTTAAAAAATCAGGTGTTGCTGTCTTATAGCCCCAGGTGCTGCAGTCAAGAGATTATATGAGAATCTCCGCTTTAATTTAAAGGAAGTTTATAAGACCTCAAGAATCTGGAGAAAATTCATGAAGATGCAAAGCAAGTGAAACTAAAGGCTCAGAATTCAGAAGACAAATGATAGCCTAACATATATTTATTTTAAAAAACAACATATTTTGAAGGCCTGCCCAGCTCATGGTGTGGAAAGCTTGGGGGTTGGCAGTACTGCTATATAGCAGGGCTATGCACCTCTGGGAGGGTTGGGGGTGGCCTGCCTGAAGCCCTGGGGGAGGCTAGGATCCTAGGCTCAGCCTATCATGCCCAGTGGCTAATTCAGGCCTGAGCTAGGCTCGCAGAGGGTAGGCCGCCCCCTCTCATGCTTGCTGCTCTCCTGGGGCCCCTCATTCTGTCCTATCCAGACAGAGCCCTTGGAGGAACATCTACAACAACCAGACTACAATTCCCAGCCTGCCCCGCGGGCCATCGCCAGCAACGTGCCTCTCTATTGGCTGCTCCTCTGGCAGCCGCCAATGAGACGCGGGTTTGTTGGTTGGTGAACTAGGAGAGAGTTTGTGCTGCTGAGGAGGCTGTGTGTCCCAGCTTACGTGAGGGACAGGGTGGGATAACCCCCGTCCAGCCCCGCCGGCATGGGGGGTAGCGAGAGCAGCTACGAGAACAGGAAGGTCTCGTTCGGGCTGGATGAGCAGGAGCGAGTGCGGGTGCTGCAGGGCATTAGGGTGAGAACTGGCTGGGATGGGGGAGGTGAGGGCAGGGGCTGAGAGGGTCTGGGTGGGGCAGAGGGACAGGGGATGAGAGGGGGTGGGGCTGAGAGGGTCTGGGTGGGGCAGGGGCTGAGAGGGGGTGGGGCCGAGAGGGTCTGGGTCGGGGAGAGGGGCTGGGGAAAGGGAGTGATACCCAACCATAGCATTGTTGCCTTTATAGTGTGTTAAAAGGCATCCCCCGCCCCCTTTCCCCAGAGCTGTTTAATCCATCCTGCACTCTTGACTTCTTGTGGGTTAAAGGAGATTTTACATTAAGGGCAGGAAGAGAGCGTCCAAGGGAAGAGACCATCACCCTTAATTAATATCACCTGGGGTACTATAGCAATTGGTGCAATGGAGACAGGTAGGGAGATAGGAGTTGTTGCGATTGAAGATTTGCTGCCTCTCCAGGGTGGGAATTGGAGCTGAGGAAGGAGGCCCTATCTGCATCATGATAGGACACCCTAGAGATAGAATTGGTGGTGTCACTAGGGTGCATTTTTCTCGGTTTCTGTCTTATCTCTGTATTTTTATTTCTCTTCTGTTACTCTACATTTTTGCAAGTTTGCCCTATTTCCTTTGTACCATTTGTATCCCATTGAGCTGCCTGTTTGCTTAGCCCCATGTGAAAGGGCTTGCTGAGTGAGACTGGATAAGTTTGTTCACTTCTTTTCCGCAGCTTCCAATCACAAGGATCTAATTAGGGTTGTTTCAGATTCCTCTTGCAGATCTTTGATATAGAGGAGAATCTAATCCTAATCAATTTTCTCTTTGCTGCTGCTTAGCTGGGCCCGTTTAGCATTCAGCTCCATGTACCAACTACACAGCAAAGTGAACTGCTTTGTTAATTTTATGTTGCTGCTCAGCTGAATGGTGTTGGAATTAGAGAAACTTGTTGATTTATGAAAAAAGAACAGGAGTACTTGTGGCATCTTAGAGACTAACAAATTTATTTGAGCATAAGCTTTTGTGGGCTACAGCCTACGTCATTGGATGCATGCAGTGGAAAATACAGTAGGACGATTTTATACACACAGAGTACATGAAACAATGGGTGTTACCATGTACACTATAATGAGAGTGATCAGTTAAGCTGAGCTATTACCAGCAGGAGAGAAAAAAAACCTTTTGTAGTGATAATCAAGATGGTCCATTTCCAGCAGTTGACAAGAACTTGTGAGGAACAATGGGGGGAAAAATAAACATGGGGAAATAGTTTTACTTTGTGTAATGACACATCCACTCCCAGTCTTTATTCAAGCCTAATTTAATGGTGTCCAGTTTGCAAATTAATTCCAGTTCAGCAGTCTCTCATTGGAGTCTCTTTTTGAAGTTTTGTTGTTGTTGTAATATTGCAACTTTTAGGTCTGTAATCGAGTGGCTAGAGAGATTGAAGTGTTCTCCGACTGGTTTTTGAATGTTATAATTCTGAATTATGTAATTATAATTTTGAATGGTATAATGACGTCTGATTTGTGTCCATTTATTCTTTTACGTAGAGACTGTCCAGTTTGGCCAATGTACATGGCAGAGGGGCATTGCTGGCACATGATGGCATATATCACATTGGTAGATGTGCAGGTGAACGAGCCTCTGATATTGTGGCTGATGTGATTAGGCCCTAAGATGGTGTCCCCTGAATAGATTTGTGGACAGAGTTGGCAACGGGCTTTGTTACAAGGATCCTGGGTTAGTGTTTTTGTTGTGTGGTGTGTGATTGCTGGTGAGTGTTTGCTTCAGGTTGGGGGGATGTCTGTAAGCGAGAATTGGCCTGTGAGAGTGAGGGATCATCCTTAAGGATAGGTTGTAGATCCTTGATGATGCGCTGGAGAGGTTTTAGTTGGGGGCTGAAGGTGACGGCTAGTGGCGTTCTGTTACTTTCTTTGTTGGGCCTGTCCTGTAGTAGATGATTTCTGGGTATTCTTCTGGCTCCATCAGTCTGTTTCTTCACTTCAGCAGGTGGGTATTGTAGTAATGCTTGATAGAGATCATGCTTGATAGAGATCTTGTAGGTGTTTGTCTCTGTCTGAGGGATTGGAGCAAATGCAGTTGTATCTTAGAGCTTGGCTGTAGACAATGGATCGTGTGATGTGGTCTGGATGAAAGCTGGAGGCATGTAGGTAAGTATAGCGGTTAGGAGGTTTCCGATATAGGGTGGTGTTTATGTGACCATCATTTATTTGCACTGTAGTGTCCAGGAAGTGCATCTCTTGTGTGGACTGGTCCAGGCTGAGGTTGATGGTGGGATGGAAATTGTTGAAATCATGGTGGAATTCATCAAGGGCTTCTTTTCCATGGGTCCAGATGATGAGAATGTCATCAATGTAGCGCAAGTAGAGTAGGGGCATTAGGGGACGAGAGCTGAGGAAGCATTGTTCTAAGTCAGCCATAAAAATGTTGGCATACTGTGGGGCCATGCGAGTACCTATAGCAGTGCAGGGGCAGAAGGAGAGGCCCCAAGATTGTCAGGGCCTCTCCTTCTGCCCCTGCACTGCTATGAGTACCTGCATGGCCCCACAATATGCCAACGTTTTTATGGCTGACTTAGAACAATGCCATCATGTGCCAGCAATGCCCCTCTGCCAAGTACATTGGCCAAACTGGACAGTCTCTACGTAAAAGAATAAATGGACACAAATCTGACGTCAAGAATTATAACTTTCAAAAACCAGTCAGAGAACACTTCAATCTCTCTAGCCACTAGATTATAGACCTAAAAGTTGCAATATTACAACAAAAAAACTTCAAAAAGAGACTCCAACAAGAGACTGCTGAATTGGAATTAATTTGCAAACTGGACACTGTTAAATTAGGCTTGAATAAAGACTGGGAGTGGAAGTGTCATTACACAAAGTAAAACTATTTCCCTATGTTTATTTTTCCCCCCTATTGTTCCTCACGCGTTCTTGTCAACTGCTGGAAATGGACCATCTTGATTATCACTACAAAAGGTTTTTTTTACTCTCCTGCTGGTAATAGCTCAGCTTAACTGATCAGTCTCGTTATAGTATGCATGGTAACACCCATTGTTTCATGTTCTCTGTGTATATAAAATCGTCCTACTGTATTTTCCACTGCATGCATCTGATGACGTGGGCTGTAGCCCATGAAAGCTCATGGTCCAATAAATTTGTTAGTCTCTAAGGTGCCACAAGTACTCCTGTTTTTTTTGCGGATACAGACTAACAAGGCTGCTACTCTGAAAGCTGTTGATTTATGGTTATTGGTCCATTCCATTGATCTCTAGGAGTTCAGACTAAATGGAGGGAGCCCCGATATTTGTCATTATAGGAACTCTCACTAAATAAACAGGAGCCTCCCTGGCTTGTTCATTTGAATTGCAAAGCTGAATCCAGTCACAAGCTTTTATGAAATGAAATGGGTTTCCTCATTTTTGGAACTCGAAGGGGATTATTTTGTTTTTTTACAAAAACCTCAGATACTTTATAGCTAGTGTTGACCGTTCATTTTCTTTCAAGGAAATACTCACTTTTCTAGTTATTAATTTTGTACTTGTCATCACTAAAACATCATAGTCATTATGTAGATTATTTTACAATGCATGTTGTATGCCTGGAGCTGTGTTCCCTGGGATCTGTTGATAGGGTGCTGTGTGTGTTTCATTTATAGTGCAAGCAGAAGGGAACAGAGTTGAAGACCTAAGACCAACCTGACAAAGTCACAATATGTAATCAAGATGTTAAAATACTGCTTATCTTGGGCAGTAGTGGCATAGCTAAAATCTATGGTCTGGTTTATGCTCTGAAGTGTGTCAATGGGAGTCTGGCCTGGGCATGGAAATTGAGCTCCCCTTAATTTTGTCCATTAGGGTGGAGTGGCCAGTATAAAATTGACTGGTGTATCAGAAGAACAGTTAGCCCTGTCTATGACATCAAAAGCAAGGGCAGAAAGGCACTCTGAATTGAATTCCCAGGAGATTTTTGGGTGCATTTTCTACCTTTTCATGGTTCTGCACCCAAGTATGGGAATAGGCAATAAAATTGGAATTGAGCACATTCGTCTCCTCCATTTCATTATTGTTAGGTGGAAAACTCTGCCTAGACTTATAAAAATAGGAACTGAAGATCTACTAAGTAATGATCCTTCCCTGCCTCCCTCTCTCTCTCCCCCCCCCCCGGTGCATAGAGGATTGTTCTTTATAGTTTGTTCTCCAATTCATTGTCCAATCACAGAATATCAGGGTTGGAAGGGACCTCAGGAGATCATCTAGTCCAACCCCCTGCTCAGAGCAGGACCAATCTCCAACTACATCATCCCAGCCAGGGAAATTCATTTTCTAGAGAACATAACCACCACATTATTGGAGAATGACAATAAAACTCTAGATATCATGATGTAAAGGAAACTCGAAAAACTTTAGCACAGGATCCTTGGTGTGTCACTTAGCTACTTATTAACATAGAGACAAGAAAAATAAATGAGCCCTTTTCATTTCAGCTACAATGCCTTTAAAATTCTGTCCAAAACTTCATAAAACAAAACAAGGGCTATATTATATAAATATATGCTGTCCTGTGGACCTATAGATATGTGATAGTCTATATAGTTTCTAGCCTTAAGACTCAATTACTTGACCTCATCACTTCCTGATGTAATATATTTGGTGAATGTGAATTCAACAACAGATAACTTGCTCTCAGATGATGTTTTAAAATAGTATAAGTAGCAGTATTTTGAAGCAGGATTAAAAAATAATTACCTGTTGAAAACTCCTCTTAATACAAAATAAAAATCAAGAATTGACTAACTTAATCTCTTCCCAACAAATTGCTCTAGCTCTCTGAAGATGTAGTGAACCGAATGAAGGAAACTTCTCAACTTAAAGGGGACCAGAGACCATCTTCCTTTCCTTCTCCCTCATCCTATGGCACTGCATCATCACCACAAGCTGCAAAAGGGAAGCCCAAGTGTACTACAGGTATTGTCAGTCTCCACTGGGTCTGCAGTCTAAAATTTTGACACTGTTGGTCACTGAGGTGTGGTTAATGCCTTTATCACACACTTGTACCTTGTCAGGACACGTTTGTTATGTTGAGTGGCATTTCCACTTGTGTGGGTATCAGTGTGATTACAAAGTTTGGGTATTCATATTGTTGCAAGAAAGCTTTTTGGGTGAGGTAGACAATGTTGTATGGTAACTAGAATGGTTGGGAATCTTGGGTTCTGTTTCTGGCTCTGCCAGTGAATCTGTATGACTCTAAACAAGTCATCTAACTTTTCAGTGCCTCTCTGTTTTCCCCATGTGTGGAATAGTAGTAATACCCATTTCCTCAAATATTTGTGTGACTTCATTAATGTGTGGTAAGGTTCTTTTGAGATCCTTGGATGACAGGTATGGTAGCAGTTCAGAGTATTACTCACAACCATGTTTCTAAAAGGGCATTAGTCATGTCAGCTCCTTTCAGTGGACGGGGAATCTGCTGTACGTATGTCATGTTATTCTGCAGGTTCAGAAGAGAAATATTTCATTAGCTGATACTAGCTATTACCAGAAAGAGAAGAGGAGAAACTGGCAAAGCTCAGCTATTTAGCTGCATGCTTAAAGACTTATTTTCTCATTCAAGTCAGCTGATTCTTGTTTTACTCAATGGTGCTCAAATGTGTCTTGTTGGTACATCTGTCATTGCTCCCATAAAAGTCTTAAACAGAAACATTCTGGGATCCAGAGTGCAGCAGGGGGTTAGTGAATCATTCCTTTCCTGCCAGAGACCAGCATTCATTTGTGGCCAAAGTCTTAAAGTTTTAAAAGTGGGTTTAGTGGTGCCTCATCCTTGTCCCTGTCTGTGAATGTCCCAAACCACTTTATAATTTGATCTCTACTTAGGAGAGACCAGTGCTGGAATAACAAAGGATGCAGCAGGTTTGGAGAGAGATGCTTTTGCAGAACTGGGGAAAAGGGGTGTAAAATAAGTTAAAATAACGTGAGCGCTTGAGATGGGTCAGGGTTGAAGTGCATCAGTATCCTCAGATGGAGGAAGCTTGCATAACACCGTCATTATGCCTTGTTCAAGGCAGTATTGTCAGCCTCTCACTTACATGAACGCTAAATTCAGCCATAAAACTTTTAAAAAGTTTTCTTTTTTCCCATTGACTTTTCTTATTGTACTGAGTGTTCCCTTCATAGAATGTTGCTCATTTGTTGAGAATTTTCCTCTTCCCTCTGATGATGTCCATTCTCATGAAGCGAAGGTAGCCAGTGTTTTTTTCCACAGTCATCAGTTGCTTCTGTTCCTCTCTTCAGGAATCCATCCACCAAGTACCAGTAGCTCTGGTCAGAAGCCCTCTGAGGCGGAGGAGGACCTGTACAAAAGGTAGGGGGATGTTCTTCCTGTCAGGAGACAGCCACCTGTGCTGCCTGGGCCACATACATGCCATGTGTAATGCTGCATTCTAGAGTTCAGTACAGTGATGATTGTATGTGGTGTTGCGTAGTATGTTTTCAATGAGATCTTAATATAGGTAAAGGCCACTGGGCATCTTTTGGTGAGAGAGCACGTGACTCTTGGGGTTGGAGATGGGAAAGGGGGCTGGGAACCAATGGGAAGGTGTTTATAGAAATGTCGGAGGAGCGAAGAATGCTTTCACATGATTTTCTGTGGGTAGTGGAGAAACACATGTCCACTGGAGCCTAAAGTTGTGTCTGCCTGCTCTTGCCTCCTGAGGAAAGTGAAAACCCCTAAGACTCTCTTGTTGAGTCCTTGAAGAAACTTCTGCCCAGACCTCAAATCTATTGATCAGTTTAACTCTGCATATGAGTGAGAATCTCTGTAGTTATACCTGAAATAATGTTTGTCCAGACACTGTCAGCTTCTTCTCCTGATGCCTGCTCCACTAGACCTGGTGGCTGCCAGCCTTTTCCACTGTGCTGTGGGTTTTTCCTGTATGGGGCGTTTTGGCTTAACAAGGTTTCCGTGCATGTAAAGGTACAGTGAGAAAGAGAGGAGTTGTGTGAAATGTGGTCCTTGCTGTGTCTCACCCTCAGGAGTCTCTGCTGCTTTTTCCAAGGGTGGAGGACAGTAGGAGGTCTAGCTTCTCTATCGATGGAGGGTTGTCTGTTATAAAACTGTTGTCATATGTTTTTCTAGCTTCTCTAAATGCCTTTTCCTGGTCTTCCTTTGCTGCATTACTGTGTCCATGCTTTCTCTGCATGTCACACAAGTCTAGCTTTGGGGATTATGAAAATGAGTCCTCTTCAGTGCTATTGTTGATTATTCAAGCTTGTAAAAGTGATGCATCAAACCCACTGTCCATAACTGTGTGTCTGACACACCTAGTGAACTCTCTGGGAAGTTGGTTCTGTTCTGTTCTTTAAAGAGATGGTGAAATCAGAATTGCTGGTAGACTGTGGACATGTCTCAAGGTTGCTTCCCCAACATCAATCATCCCACTTACTCTGCAGAGGGCTCCTTCCCACTTACTCTGCAGAGGGCTCCTTCTGTCTCGTAGGGCCAGCAAAGCAAATAGCTAAGGTAGCGTTGGTAGTAAAATTCAGCTAGGCAGACAAACTTCTTTTTTTGTGGCCTGCATCTTATTTTTTTAAAAGCAGCTTTATATATAGTTTATTAAATCCTTTATTCTCACTGTTTTGAGGTGACTGTCAAGTGTTTAAGAGCCAGACCTAACTGAACTGTAGGTTTAGGTGCTTTGTGCCCCCTTGTTTTTTAAATTGTTCAGCACTGAACTTTCAGGTCATCTTTAAAGTTCATGGTGCTCCAAAATTCCCACAGAACCTTGGGAGTTGTGAGCAGGCTTTGTCCCAAGTAAATCACACCTCTTCATGTTCCTGGCTAAGGGTAGGACAGATTATCCCATGAGCCTGTTGCTGAGCACCTTCTCTTTGCCTTTCTTTGGTACTGATGCAGGTATGAGCGAGAGCAGGCACTGGTCCAAGAGGAACTGCTCCGGCTGGCCAAGAGGGAACGGGAGGCAGGCAGCGAGTGTCTCAATACAACTCTGCAACGGGAAAAGAACAGCACCAATGAAGAGAGGCAGAAAGCAACTCGGATGGTAGGTACAAAGCAACATATTCCCAGGCAGGAGGAGGACCTGAAACCTTTCCCCTTTGAGGGATCAGTTAAATGCCATTTATTTGTGTAATGAGTTCAGCAACTGCTGCTTAGTCCCAAGTCCATGGTAGTTATCATCTCATATCTCTTAGCCTGCTGTAGTTGGCAAGTCTGTCATGTAACTAACCTTAGGCTGAGCTTTTATGAGAATGGTATAGCATCTGGCTACATGCAGGTGGGCGCATTGTCTGTGGGAGAGTGGAGTGGAGATGGCTGGCAAGAGAGCCTGCTGCATATGTAGGGTTGGGAGGGACTAGCATTGTGGCAACCTGGGCTGGATGGAGCTCTGCTAAGCTACTACATGTGTGAAATGGGTATTTTTGATGTAGGTACAGACTTGACCTGTCTCAACTTTGCTGTATCTGGACTGTTGAGTAAAGTTACAGGAACACCTGAATAGTCAGGAGTAGAGTGTCTTACAAGAACTGGCTTCTTGTTCTTAACTGTAGTGACATGAGCTGTCCCGTTATAACAATGTGAGGATGATGCTTGCCACAGTGAAACTGGTCCTGGTTATCAGTAGACAGCGAGGTGGATATTTAGACTAATTCGCCGAGAGTCACATTACTTGTTAAAAGGACAATGTCTAGACGAGGGAGGGAACAGGGCTGGGAGTTGAGTTCTAGGTTCTATTCCTGTTTTTTCCCTTCCTCTTCTTCCCACCCCCTGCCCCCCTACCAAACTGATTTGCTGTGTGGTTTGGTTAAATCACAAATCCCTCTGTGCCTCCATTTTTCCATCTGTAAATCGGTGTTGATACTACCCCACCCCAGAAGGCAAGTGAGGTGTAACTTGGTTATGGTGCACTTTGGCTCAATAATAAATTATAACTGTTCCAACATGCTAGCCTGCTGCCTTTTCATATTGATTTCCCTGATGTGGTTCATAAGTGACCCCTGTGAGGCAAGTGATTTCCTTTGAGAAACAGCAGAGTCTAAGGATGGGCAATCTCTCTGGTGGAAGGGTTAAATACAAAAAAGGAGTTGATATCTAAGGCAGGTAAGAGCTGTGCATCTGGATGAGACATTGCAGCTGGTAAGTAGCACTTACTCCATTCCCACCAGGAGGATGATAATTCCTTTCATTAACGTAATTAACAGACCTTTGTAGAAAGTGGCAGTGAATTAATTTCTAAATCTGAGGAGATGGCACTGCTCAGTGAGAGAGCCCTCTCTCCAGGAGTGAGACACACGAGCTGTTTGGGAAGAATGTGACTGAGATGTGTCAGCATTATCACTGAAATGTGCCCTTATGGCTGGAACAAGCCGGGACCTGACTCTTAGGGTATGTCTACACTACAATTAAACATTTGCGGCTCCTCCATTGCAATTTGGGCTTGGGCTACGGGGCTATTTAATTGTGATGTAGACAGTTGGGCTCGAGCCCAGACTCTTGGACCTTCCCCCTTCCCAGGGCCTGGGCTCCAGCCTGAGCCTGAACATCTATCCCAGTAAAACAGCCCCACAGCTTGAGCCCCGCATGCCTGAATCAGCTGACCCGAGCCTGGCATGGGTGTTTGTTTGCAGTGTAGACCTACCTTTTATGTACAAATGTTGTAATCACATCAGAGTGTAACACTTAATCCTCCAGAGTACGAAGCATGGAGTTGCTGGGTACGTGACAGTTTGCAAACACAAAGCGGGTTCAAATCAGATTTTTCTTGGGTAACCCATGGGATGTAAGTAGTGAATATGCAGCTTATGCCCAGAATGTGGTGTTAGAGAAACTGTGGTCAAGTTTATTGCTGTGTAGTCTCCTCCATTGATCACTGACATGAAACAAATCTGAGAAACCTTAGAAATCAATGAGAAATTTTGGGTTGTCTACTTTGTTCTGACAAGAGTTAGGCAAGGGTGCTGGCTACTTGTTCCTGGATAACTTTAATGTGTCAACTCTTTACTATGGGGACTCCTACATGGTATATTTCCTCTCAATTCCAGGCACCCTTTGAATATAAGGTTCCCCACTCTGGCCCCTCAAACTGCCTGACCTCTGTTTGTTAGGAATGAATGTCTTTCCACATCACCCCAAAACTTCCCAGTTAGTGTTTGAAGGCCTAGGACCCCCTCTTGCAGTTCCTTGTACTATTTGAATGGTAGCTCTCACTTGTCAGTATCCTTGTTTGTCAGGATTCCTCCGTTTTCCAGCTCCTTGGTCCCTTAGTCTGGAATGGTGGCTGAGTGTTGGCTGTTGTCTTCAAGCCTGGAACATGAGGGGAGTGATGGACTTGGGCCATCCTTTGACCCCTCTGCTTTATCTCTGCTGTTTATCATTTGAAGTTAAAAGCAAGTGTGTATGTGGTTTTATGGGTATTGATTGTATTATACAGCCAGTCAAGATTGCACTGTCATGCACACAGAAGCCAGGGGGAATAAACTTTCAGGTGTTCTGTGCTGTGTTGCACAAGAAGGGTGTCAAAAAAGAATGGGATTGTTGTTTTATTTGGGGCAACTGAGTTGTTTGCCTTCAGCTATTCAAAATGTATTAGGACTTGAAGATCATGCCACATATTGTTAGAAAGCTAATTTCTTCTAGATTTGCCGTAAGATCTTGGTGCTGAAATAATTTGGCTTTTAATACCCTTCTCTTGTGTAGGCAGCTCTACTATGTAGCCATGCTCTCTCTTTACCATGCCACTTGTAGGCCATAAACCTGAATACAACAGCTATATTTTTAAACAATTTCATTTTGATTGATTGTGCTGAAAGTCACTTGATGTTTAATCTGTGTTCTTTACAGTTTTCATCCGCTGACCTTTATTATTAATAGTATTTGTGTAAGGTGATGGTTCAGTCTTATTGGATTGTATGTTTTCCTGTGATCAGAAACACATTAACCAATTGTGACGTTCCCCTCTGGTGTTGTCTGGACCAGTGATCTGCTAGGCTGCTCCAATCCTTGACTCTGGGAGCCAGCCTTACCCTGCTTTGCTGTGAGAACCCCCACTCCTGGGCTGTTCATGCACAGCCTCTGGCATGTAAGCTGCTCCCAGCTACTTGCAAGTGAATGACACTAGCCAATATCTCTGGTCCTAGAAACAACCCTAGGAACCTCCGTCTTGTAGTGTCCAGTTATGCCCGCTGGATGCTGCAAGCTTATATAAGTTCGTCAGTTTAACAAAGAAATTGAAAAGTACCAGGCTTGTTATCCCAAGGGGAGCCTCTGACACCTGCAAACCAAACGCACTGCTTCGGGTAAAATAAACAGATTTATTAACTGTAAAGATCGATAACAAGTCAGATCTGGTCAAATGAAATAAAAGCAAAATGCATTCTAAACTGACTTTAACGCTTTCAATGTCCTTACAAACTTAGATGGTTAGATGCTTAGCCAGCCTCTCCCCTTCGATCAGTGGTTCAGTTGCTTCGTGATGACGGTGTCTGTAGATGCATGTGGAAGAGAGAGAGCATGGCAAAATATCTTTTCCTTTTATCGTGTCCTTTATTTCCTCATGGCTTTGCCTCTTTCTCCTCCCCCCACCCCCCTTCAGACTCAGGTGAGCATTACCCCATCGCAGTTCCAAACTGCCCAAAGGAAGGGGGTGACTCCCTCAAGGGTCTAACAAATTCTTTTGTTCCTGCCTAAGCCAGTGTCCATTGTTCCTGTGAGGCTGGGCTGGGTTTGTTCCATCCGTGCCCTGACGAGGTGTGAACTGCCTTGTCAGGGCTGTGGAGAGTTTTTGCATGGGCTTGCTTTAAGCCATGAGAATACATTTTCAGCCTCATAACTACATACATGAAATTATAACCTTACCATAACATTACTGTAACAATTACTATAACATCACTGTAACAACCATGCTCAGTGCATCATGAGCCTTCCGAAGACACCCAACATGACAAACTTTGCATTGGATACCACGCAATCATTTTATAAAGATGAACATGGGGGTGTAGGGTGTTCCCCCAAGGTACAGAGCATCACACCCATCAGTAATGGACCCTATTGCAGGCTTATGTATGTAATTAAGTCATTACTTACAGGAGGGCCTCAATTTAGAACAGGCAGAGAAGATAGGTGGTTTAGTGTTTGGAGCAGGACCTTGGGAGTAAGGTCCCCTTGGTTTCTATTCTAAACTCTGCCAAGACCTCTTCTTTGTTTTTTTTTTTTTTTTTTTTGGGACTTGGACAAGTTACTTATCCTTTTGGTCCCTGTTTCTCTAGTTGTAAAACTTCTTACATAGGAAGCCCTTCATGGCAGGAACTTCACAGCACTACTAACTTTACCCTTTAAGGAGCCATAGGTCTTGTACCATTGTGTGGAACCAGCTGGGATGGAAACAGTCTCTAAGCATGAACTCTTAACTCCTCTCTGCATATAGTGGACTCTTCCTGTATCTTTTTACAGCATCTAGCACAACAGGGCTCTGAGGCTGACCAAGTCCCATAGGTGCTTCATAATATAAATATTAACATCCAGTACAATGGGGAGTATATGTGCAGTACCTCACAGAGGGGCTCTGATTCTTAATGGGTGTTTGTAAAGTGCTTTGATTCTCACATCAAAGGTGCTATCAAATGGCCGAGAACAGATGTAGCTGTTCTTCTGAGCCCTTTTTATTTTAGCATGCGGGGCTAGGATTGCAGCTTCCTAATCAGCTTTTCCCTTATTCTGTCCCATGGTTTTGCCCTGCATAGTCCCACCTCTCTCCAAACCAGATACTTTTTCTTTCATCTTTGTCTCTGTAATCACAATCTTTTCTCCCCTCCTAATTCTTGTATTTTTACCAAAACAACAACAACAACTTTGGAAGTGAGGCTGCCCGCACACATCTCCTTATTCTGCTGGGGCCATTTAGCATGCATCTGTCAGCCACCCAGTCAGAAGCAGTGACTTTTCAGGCCTGCTGGCTTTAACCAAAACGTTTGAAACAAATCAATGTAGGATAGGGAGGGGGAGAAGCAGGCAGGAAATAAACACGATTAAGCTAAGACATCTCAT